CATCACCCACCGGGATATGAGGAGCGTCGCCGCCGCAGCGTTACTGGATTGCAACAGCTGGATGCTAAGGTTCAGGAAACAAAGCTCACGGAAACACCCGTAAGGTCAGAAAAAGCCGCTTGACTTCACAGTCAGCTTCTTACGGTGGCGGTTTGACAACTGGCAGGATGAGCTGCGCGGAGCCCGAGTGCCCCCCGACGGACGCCCTGCCAAGCGCGCCCGGCCTCCGCGCCACCCCCAAGAGCGATCAGGAGGATGAATTATCATCTGCCAACTTTTATTTGCGTGTCGTTACGTCTGAGTTTGGTAAAGGCGGCTTTTGACTGAAAAACAGCCTTCAGAGAGCAGACCGGATTACTTCCAGAAGAGAGATGAATCAAAGTTTAAAATACTTCACCACGCCGCGTTTACGTCCCAGCAAATTAAAGTTATTCTCAGTCTGTAATGCATCTTTAAGCTCCACATTATTCCAAAATGAGACGGTGCAGACAAGGCAAAGAAAACTAAACTGCTTGCATCAAAAATTCGGAATTACCCAGAAAGCTAGTGACCTCCACTGGCTGCATCCATCGCTACAGGACCACGAGATGCCACACACATCGCCTGCCGCCTGCTCTCGCGGAGAGATTCAGTCCTGACTTCTGATACCTTTTCCCCCAAGTAACTGTATAATTTAACACGCTCTTCTCTACTGCAAAACGCTAACTCCTCCAACAAAACTTGCATCTCCATGCCTGTAAATATTCCCTCGGTAAAGTAAATGAAGCCAGGAAAAAGTAGTTTTACAGCTAAACGTAGAGCAGGACGATATTTGCGGGAGAAGAGGAAGCTCTGGCATGCACCTCTGAACAAAAGGGAACAAGTGGTCTTTACTCGGAGAGCAGCTTCCTATTAAGACTCACTCCTTCGTACATTATGCCTTTCATCCCCACTCAACCACAAAATGATTTTGCTGTAGGAAATACAATGGCAGAAAAAGATTTACATTGAAAGAATCTTTAATAATAAACTGTTGCAGATCTGCCTACTTCCCCGTGATTTATAATACAATAAACATTGGATTCTATTAAGTCTCATGCACTGAAGACATGCACTGAAAAACCGAATATGAAAGCCCTCAATTCTTCCCGTCTCCAGTACCATAATAGTGAAATGAGCATGTATAAATGTGCTAAGAGTATCTCTTTGCATCTTTTATAGCTTGTGTGTATTAATCTGTAAAGCTTATTAAGAAAGTCATTGCTATGCAAAGCAGCACCCAATCTCTTTCTCTTGCTTTTCAACAGAGCGCAGTGTTTAGCCAATAGGACCGGTCCCCTGCCCCTCATTCGGCATTCATAACATGCAACATTTGCACAATGTATCTCTCAAAGGCTGCTGAATAGAAAGCCTTAATACTCATGTAAACAACTGCAAACCAATTACTTAATGAATCAGGCCCACACATAATGAGGTGCCAGACAAAGAGCTATAAATGCATTTTTGCGCCCGAGCCTCTGCTTTAAAGTAAAATCCCTCAGCTGTAGTTTGGGCTTAACTGGCACATCATAATTATTGTCTGGAGGACATCAGAGGAAGCCATTTTTTTTATTTAGGTCCAGCAGGGTCTTTTGCGAGGTCACTCATCAGCTCAGTGACAAAACGGAGCAAAGAAGAATTTATAAAAAGTACCACAGCAGTGCTACGCAGTTATGTTTATTCTCAAGTAGTGGGTTTCGAGACCACTTGTAAAAGCAATAAAGCCCGAGAAGTGACTGCAGTAAGTGGAGCGCTTAAATGCGAGCGGTGAAGAAATTGCACTGCGTCCTGGCTGCAAACAAGCGGCCGGCCAGCCGCCCTTTCTATGTCTCTGTCTTTCTCACTACTTTCGCCGCTCTCAGTCGCTGCGGAGCGGATGCCAAGCGTCCAAAAGCAAGGGTTGTTCATAAACTTCGTATTTAGAAGGCTGCACTATTTTTAACTCATTTAGAAAAACTAACTTTAAGCTGTTGGAAGAGTTTGTTTTTTTAAAGCAGCATCATCGTGTATCAGCACGTGAAGTGGACTTGCTTCTCAGCAATGAAAGGCATGAAATTATAGGGCAGAGTGAATTATTTTAAAAATCTATCACAAGTAAAAATTTGAAAAAGGGCAAAAAAGTACACCATATGAACAGCATCTGAAAAAAATGCAGAAGTTGCCGAATGCATAATTAGCAAGCAGTGTAACATCCAAGGGGGGAAAGCTTGGAGAGTTGTTCTTTTTTTGAATAAAAGAATAGTTCATTTTAAGTTGTATGTATTTTTATTCAGATGCTTGGCAGTGATCCTCTATGCAAGTTATTCAGGGCCCAATCCTTCTCTTCCTGCTGTCCTGGGCTTCAGTGAATGACTAAAATTTAACATCTAAAAATTCATACATCGGAGCACCCTTGCGTTTCATAGCATTAGGTAGTACGATTTGAACGTCAAACAGTTGCAGAAAATTTAAAAAACAAAAAGAAAAAAGAGAAAA